AGTAACTTTACTAAGAGTTACTTTATGAGTCATTTGATTCCTCCTCCTCCTCCTCTCTCTCTCTCTCTCTCTCTCTATATATATATATATATATATATATATATATATAATTTTATTGATCTTTTTTAATATATGATTGTCAATTTTCGTTTGTCAAAAAATTTCATCAGTAATATAACTTTTCCTATGAATTTTTTTTCACCAAAAATATAAATTTTCCGACAGATAAATTACTGAAGGATAAATCTGTCAAAAATTACCGATGGATATATTGATCGAAAATTACTTACGGATATATTTGTCAGAAATACAAATATTCCAAAAAATTTGTATCCGTTAGAAATTATCCATCGAAAATATAAATTTTTTGACAGATTTGCATCTGTTAGAAATTACCGACGAATATATCTTTTAAAAATATAAATTTTTTGACATATTTGTATCTGTCAAAAATTATCCACTGATAATATAACTTTTTCTACGATTTTTTTTTTTTCATGAATGAATGAAGTTGTATCCGTTGGAATTTCTTGTAGTGTCATCTCCATGAATGATTTTGTTGAGTTTCAATCCACGGATGGTTGCAAGGACTTGTTGCTGCCATGTCAGATAATTGTTATCATCTAGTTTGATAAGGATTGGTGTGCTAAAAGTTTAAGGCAAAAATTGTTTTGAGGTATCAAAAACCATGGTAGAACTTGAGGCTCTTGATACCATATCATTTTCCTTAAAAAAATTAAATTTTCTTAATATTGATTGATATTATTTTCGTAAAAGATATAAAAGTAGAATTTAGAAATTTAAGTAAAGATGAATATCAATATTTGTTTTATCGTGGACCAAAATCAAGCATTTAAAAGTAACTTTTTTTTTTCTAAAATATATGCATAGTGCTATTCTTTTGTACACGATAAAATATTAAAATATGTTAAAAAAATTCCTTAACAAAGTATTTTGAAAAAAAATACATAAATTTATGTTTGTAAAAAACATTTTTTTTCCAGAAGTACTTTATATTCACATTTGAGAAATCTTTAATTTTATACTTTAAACATGTTATTACTGTCTAACAAAAATTAAATTTATTATTTCATATTGTTCTATAATATTCATTTTAGTTTTGAATGCTTCAAGACTTGAAGAGCAATAGACGACTAGACGTAGGTAAAGATGAAGGAAATTACTTCTGCGTCACTTTAAGAATTTTGACGTAGATATGCATGGAAACGTACGTGAATCTTGGAGTCAGATCCAAGCACAGGTTTAAACAATACATTTTTATTTCTATTATTTATTATTTATTTTCTTTTATCACATTACATTAATATTTATAACTTTCTTCCTGTACGTACCTTTTCTTTTATGATGCTGTCTCTCTCTTCCCTTCCTCTGCCCCAATCTCGAGATTAACAGTGTTCGTTTTTTATAGGTTAAAATTTTTATTCGGTTCCTTATAATATTTTTTTTATTTCAATTTAGTCTTACTTTAATTTTTTGTTTCAATTTGGTTCTCAATAATTTAAATTATTGCAATTTAGTATTTCCGTCCAAATAATTTAAACGGAGTTAACTGTTGGCCACGTGGATGCCACGTAAATGAATGCCAAATTTTTGGAATACACCTGGAACTAGAACGACCCGTTCAGGAACCAGAACGGCCCGTTCTGGTTGCACTCTTGGTGTGTAAATTTTGTACCTGGAACGGGCCGTTCCAGATGCTAAATTTACACACCAATAATGTATCCAGAACGGGCCGTTCTGGTTTCAGAACGGGTCGTTCTGGTTCCAGAATAGTCACTTCCTACGATTCACGGTTGTGAATTGTGCTTGGAAAAAAACCTAAGATACAAAGCATTTCAAACACTAGATTTGGTAATATTATCAATAGGGATACTAAACATTTGGGCTATACAGTGTATTATTAAGGACGATGCAGTGTATCACTAAGGACAATGGTAGCAAGTTTTATTTCATTATTAGTCAAACTGGAGTGAACCACTTACTATCAAATTGACACTATACAGTCAAGGATGAAATGAAACGATGTTTTCCCTTGAAGTCATTGACGATGTACCCCAACAATAACAACCTGTTCTTGAGGAGGTACAACCTGAATTTTTGTGGTTTAGGGTTTTCCTTCAGCGTTACCTAGATGATTTCTTTTCTCAGTAATTTCTTTAAACTTTTTTAGTATATGTTATGTTCTGAATTTTTGTTTTCAGTTTCTGAACCATGTTTCTGTCTTTGAATTTATGATATGTTATGAATTTTTATTTTCAAATTTTGAATCACAGTGCGGCATTTTGGCTAACTCATGCATGAAGTTGACGTTCTGGAATGGGCCGTTCTGAATCCAGAACGGCCCGTTCTAAAACCAGAACGGCACATTCTAAAATTAGAACGCCCCGTTCTGATTTTAGCACGGCCCGTTCAAATGCACTTATGGTGTGTTAAATTTGCATTTGGAACGGCCCGTTCCAATTGCAAAATTAACGCATAACATGTACATGCAGAACGGACCGTTCTGGTTTCAGAACGGGCCGTTCTGGTTCCAAGTATATTCATGAAATTTGGCATCCACCTATGCATCTACGTGGTATCCACCTGACATCCACGTGGCCAACAGTTGACTCCGTTTAAATCATTTGGACGGAAGTCCCAAATTACAATAATTTAAATTATTGGAGACCAAATTGAAACCAAAAATTAAAGTGAGACTAAATTGAAACAAAAAAATATTATAAAGGACCAAATAAGAGTTTTAACCATTTTTTATATTGACAACAATAATCGATCATTACTTTTTACGTACCAATAGAAGAAAAAAAAAGTACTTCTCAACAAAAACAAAAGAAAATCATACTTTTTCATCGTTCATTGAATGAATGCTATTAGTAATTAATGTTATTACCCTAAACCCGAACGCAAGTCATTATCGTTTCTTAAGTCATATCTTCGACAAAAGTAACACGTTACATCTAACGAAGCATAAAGACACCTTCTTAATAAAGAAAAGGGAAGAAAGTAAAGACAAGAATATCATATATTGGTTTTTAGAAGGATGCCATATCGATCACGCACTGGCTAATAATGGAACACGTAGACGTTGTACTCGACAACAGCATCCATACCCACCTGCGAACCGGAAAGCCCCGCTTCCTCCAACTTCCTCCAACTATTGGCATTTCTCTCACGGCAGAGAAAATCGGTTGAGTGACATTCTCACTTATAATTTATAAATAAATGATGGTGATTCGTCACTTTCTCCATGCACCGATGTAACCAATCTCTCATTCACACTATTAAGTACTTCACTTATCACTTCCAACTGCAACAAAAAGAGAAATGCAAAAATGGCCGCAAAAGAGAAAGAGATAACCCACCAGTTTCGTTTTTTCCGCGTTTACCAAGACGGTACAGTGGAGTTTCACAAACACTCCGCCCCCGCCACGCCCGAAAAGATTACCCCTTTTGATGACCCCACCACCGGAGTTTGCTCCAAAGACGTCGTCGTGTCCATCGACCCACCCATCGCGGTTAGGATCTTCCTGCCCCGAATAACTGACCCGACCCGAAAACTCCCCCTCCTCTTCTACATCCACGGCGGCGGCTTCTGCATGCAGTCCGCTTTCTCCTCCATTTACCACAACCTCGTGGCCACCGCCGCCGTCGAAGCCAACGCCATCGCGGTCTCCGTGGAATACGGTCTGTTCCCGACCCGACCCATACCTGCATGCTACGAGGACTCCTGGGCGGCGCTCCAGTGGGTGGCGTCACACGGCAGCGAAAACGGACCCGAGCCCTGGCTGAACGAGCATGGCGATCTGCAGCGGGTGTTCATCAGCGGCGACAGCGCCGGTGGCAACATAACCCACGCGATGGTGAGTCGGGTGGGGAAGTTCGGGTTAGCGGGCGTGAGGATTATCGGGGCAATTTTGGTGCACCCGTATTTCGCGGGTGTGAGAGAGGACGATGAGATGTGGATGTACATGTGTCCGGAGAACGAGGGGTGGGACGATCCTAGGATGAGACCGGCCGTAGAGGATCTGGCTAGGCTTGGGTGTGAGAGGGTGCTGGTGTTCGCTGCTGAGAAGGACCATCTGTTCCACTCTGCAAGGAACTACGTTGAGGAGCTCAAGAAGAGTGGCTGGTGTGGGAATGTTGAGCTTGTTCAGAATTGGGGTTTGGGACACTGCTTTCATGTTTTCAACCCCCAACATCATGAGGCCAAGCAGATTTTGCAAAAGATCGTTTCCTTCATCCAACCTCACTAAATTTCTCAACCCATCCCAATACTTTTATTTTTCTGCTTATTATTATGTTTTTCTAATTCCATACTTTCGTATGGACGTATGGTTGCTTGTGACCTCTTGGGAGTACGTAGTAATACCCATGTAATATCCGTATGAGACAAAAAGGATGAAAATAAATTTCAAAGTCCAGTTTAATCCTTCATCTTTCATCTATTATAACTTTTGGCAATGCGAATGGGATTTTAATACCTTGCATATTAAGTTGTGCGATCTATTATGCTACTACGGTGTTTTTTTTTAATATTGTTCTAGTTGTGTGAGAGAGTTTTTATCATCGAGGCCTTCAAAGAGTTTGAATTTGTTTTTCTCACCTAAACTATCGTCCCTTATTCCCAACAATTTAGATAAAACTTGTCTCTTAAATTATTCTGAATATCTCATGTTTGATTTAATTATTAAATTAAAAAAAAATTAATTCATATATCAGATTTGTAAATTTTAAAAGAATATTGAAAAGTATTTATTATTTTATTTTATTAATTCAAGTTAACTTATAAAATATTTTTATGATTATTTATCAATTTAAATTAATAAAACAAATATTAAACAATTTTTAAATTTCTTAAAAATTTGTAGACTTAATCTTTATATTAAATTTTTTAATTTAATGATTAAATAATTAAAATTTGATACAGAACAATATATATATATATATACGCATGTTTTTAAAGAATTATTTAATTTAAAAAATCGATTGAATAATTTTTTGAGAACCAAATAATATTTCAAGTCATTATCATTTTTAAATCATTATTTTCAATTAATTAAACTAGACGTTAAATCATATAAAAAAATCATAAAGCATTGTTAGAGCATAATTAATACATTTTTTAGTGCAGTATATTAAGCTTATTTGACATTTATAAGTATATTAAATTGATGAATTGGTTCACATTTGTTTTAATAAATTATTTTGATTTTAATTCTAAATTTTAGAAGAAAAAAGAAATTGTTCACTAAGATATGATATCTTGTGCAAGCCATTTCTTGAGTTCCTGAACTCATAATAGAATATTTTTATTGTCCCTAAAAAGCTAAGACAAAGCTCTATAATTTTTCTGTTGAAAGTTTTCACCAAGTTCGAAAGTTTCAGAATCCAAAAATGTGCTATAATGTTCTGCCTTTACACTTTGTTTTGGGTTTAATTACTTTAAGAACCTATTGTATTAGTAGTTTAATATTATTAATTAATTGATTAGTGGATTAAGCCTTATAAATATTCTGATTAGGTATATTATATTGGTTTATTATGATAGGTGTTGTGAGACTTATTATGTGTATTTTCTTTAATTTTTTGAATTTTAGAATTATTTCCTTTACAAGTTTTTTTTAAATTCTTTCTTCTTCTCATATTTTCTATCTACATTTTATAAACGAATGAAGTACAACAATGAAATTTAATTTAAATATAATATTATTAATTTATATACTAATTTTAAATAAAATTTATATATTTAAATATAATATTATTTATACATAAAATTTATTATAAATTTGAATTACATATAATAAACACGCGTGTTAAAATACTACTAGAAAAGAATGGAATTGGAAAAGCATGCGATATGAAGATGCAGAAGCTAATAATGGAAGACGTAAAGGTTGTACTCAACAACGGCATCCCCTGTCTGGCCATCAAGAGTGTAAGACCTGGCCTCGGCATAGCCACGTGCGAAACGGAAAGCTCCGCTGCCGCCGACAATCGGTATTTCCCTGACGGCGGAGAGCACCATGTTCCGCCCCAGCAAGCTGATGGTACTGCCATTGTATTTCTCCTCGGTGAAAGCCATGTTGAAGATTACCGAAAGCCCAATCTCCTTCTGGTCTGAAAACCCATACATTCCTTGGGCCTTTCCCACCAGTTTGGAGTCAGGCTCGGGCCCCACGGTCAACGGGTCGTCGGTCATGACGAGGAGCCCGAAAAGCGAGGAGGAAGTGTTGGTGGACTGGGCCTGGGCGATCCTGACCGCGGTGGGCTTTGAGCCGCTCAGAATGTCGTGCAAGTAGAAGCGAAGGTGGGTGAGCTTTTCCTTGTGGAGACCCAGAGATGTTGGAGATATGTCTCGATAGAATTCATCAGCGGCTTCTGCATTTGCGAGTAAGGAGAATAAGAGGGTGAGGGTGAGGGTGATGTGCAAAATTGACATCATTCGTGTTTTCGTTCTGTAACTTTTGCTCATTCTGTGAGGACAAGTAATGAATGAGAAAAGATAATTGTTGATATTCTCAATATAATCTATTTATATAGGAATTTGGATCTTTTCTCGCAATTTTTTCTCTACCACCTCTCTCTTACAACATTAATAATCATTAGCTTAAATTTAATCTTATAATTAATTTAATTTTTTAAATAATTAAATTTGAGTTATTAGATATATCTAATGACTATTAATACTATAGGAGAGAGGCTGTTCAGAAAAAATTGCCGGAAAGGATCTAAATTAATTTAAAGAGTAGAATTGCTGCTCATAACGCGGACGATCGATATCCTTTTCTTTTCAAATCCCAGTGATACAAAATCCTAATCTAATACCAATTGCTTGCTTGCAATGTTTGGAATTTCGGCCAACCTATCAACAATTTGCTGAAAATATTAGTCAGAGAAGGCAAACGTGAAATCAACTGTTTCATTGCTGGTGCATCCATTAAAAAAGTCAACTGTTTTTTTTCCTTTTTTTTCGTTCTAATACGAAATTCTTCGATGCAACAAGTTTAGACTTCAGGATTTAAGATTTCTTTATAAAAATAATTATAACTTGATATATGAAGATTAGTTTGGTCTCGTGTTATCAAATAATAATTTTTCTATTTTGAGTGGATGCGTGGTTATATAAAGATGAAATTAAAAAATGCATATAAGAAGAAAAACGTGTATTTTTAATAAGAACCGATATTCAATAATACTTCTATAATCTTTTGTATAAAAAATAAGTTGAATTGTATTTTTGTCCTTCAATTTCTAATTTTGGTATTTATTTTAAAATAGAAACATTTAATCTTTCTAATTTTAAAAATAGAATTTTGATTCTTTCATCAAATTGATATCTATTAACCATTAAGTTCTTAATGTTTACTCGTACTTAAATGATGTGATATTTAATAACATAAAATTTAGTAATACAATTTTTTTAAAAAATGTAAATAAATTTTTTATTAATAAAATAAATATCAATCACTCAAAACAATATTTACAAATAAATATTTTTGTCTGTTATTTTTAAAAATTTTAGGTTTAATTACACTTTTGGTCCTCCTAATTTAGTGTAGGAGCAATTTTGGTCCTCATAATTTGAATTCCTTAATTTTGGTCTATAAATTTAAATAATGGGCAATTTTAGTCCCACAAATAATTTACCATCCAAAATTTAACAGACGTTAATGATATAGATTTTATGCTAAATAAACATTAATTATATATTATTTAATTTCTTTTCTGTTTGTAGTTCAGGTTGTGAATTTTTAAAAAAAAAAATTTCGTTTTGGATCTGAGCATGGTGTAAAACTGGACCAAAATTAAGCAATTCAAATTATGAGGACCAAAATTACTCCTACACTAAATTAGGAGGACCAAAAGTGCAATTAAGCCAAATTTTTATACTTAAGTCATGTCACTAAATATTACATCACTTAAGTGGTAACAATTACAAAAAAGTCATAATTTAATGATTAATGAACATCAAACTGATATTGAGACTAAAAATTCGTATTTTTAAAAATAAGGGGATTATAATGTCTCTATTTTAAAATAAAGACCAAAATTACATATCTATAAAAATGGAGATCAAAAGTGTAATTTAACATAAAAAATAAATATCTTTTTAATTATCCTAAAATTATAAAAATTATAATCCCATCTTCAAATTTATGAATTGTTAAATTCTTTATACATTCTTAATGCATGGTGAAAGTGTAAAAGTATCTACTAGCTTATTAACAACTAGTTAGTACAACACAAGATAAACTTTTATTTTATATAATAAAAAATTATTAAAAAATACTTTAAACATATATTACAACTAAAATATGTAATAAAAACAAGATGGTGACAATTTATGATTTATTTCATATTTTCATTCTCTGTCACCACTATCATCGTTTCTATTATTATGTGGCAAAGAAGTTGGTGGTGGTGGTGGAAAGAACAATGATAATAACGTAGTAGAGATGATGGTGATAGTGATTGTAATGGTGATATCATAGTTACCAGTTTCATCATCACTAACATTGTAACGATAACGACAATGGTGGGAATGGAGACAAGGACAATGGTAACAATGATAGTAACAATGATTATGGTAATTACGATGTTTTGCTACATCCATTGTAGTGACAATGACAATAGTAGTGATGACAATAGAGATAACAACAACAATAAGGATGACAATATGGTGATGATGGTGGCAACAATGATAATGATAACATTGTCGTCACAACTATTGTGATAACAATGATAATGATGATGATAGTTGAGACAAATACAACAATGATGATGAAGGTGACAACAATGACAATGATGAAATTAACATCACCACCATCATCATAATCATTGTAGTAGCGAAGATAGTGGTGGTGATAATAGGAGATAACGACAGCAGTATCAACAATGATGATGATGATAGTAATGGTTGCTTCACTAACTCTATGGCAACCAATACTACCATTACCACCATAAATAAAGAGATGATGAAATTCTAAAAAGAAATAAACTATTTAATAACTATTATGCCACCACATTTTCAATTTGTTTAAAAATATTGAAAATGACTTCTTTTTTTTTTTTTTCAATTTTGACCATCAATTTGAAAAAAAATTCATAAAAAATATTTTTTTAAATTTAAACAAACATATTTTTACCATTATTTTTCATTTTCATTGAAAATAAAAACAAAAAATAGACATACCAAACAACTCCTAAGATATACGAGTAAATGACTTGGTCATAATAAAAAAAATGAAAGAAAAAGAAAATGAATAATCTACTTGACAGTTTTGATTTTGATCTTGTTGTGAATCATATTAAACACATTCTTATGGATGTTTTCTAAACTAGCATGTACAAGAAATATTTTAATTTCTCTAATTTTGATGTATTGCAATAGGGAAAATATATACTTTCCGAAATGCGTCTGTATGATGTTACATGAATATATATATATATATATAAAAATTAAAAAGAGTTTATATTTAACCTAATCACAATGCACAAACCTATATCACACAAAATATAAAAAAAATTACATGAAAATATTTTTTTTTTGACCAATTAAGATCATTGTGTGATGTATCTAAGATATTGTTTATCATGCGTTTGTTAAACTGTTGTAATTTTATCCTTAAAAATAAAATCTGATGTATTAAAAAAGAAATTTATAAACAACCTTTATTTCCTAACTCTTAAATTATGTGAGATCTTCCTTATCATACCGAAACATATATTTTTTTTTAAATTCAAAATTTTAGCTCATATCATTAAGAATATCATAAATGATACAATTTGGGATGTGAAAAAAATCACAGTGATTTGCATTTTCTATTGCTGCTTTAGCTAGCTTATGAGCAACAATATTGGTAAATCTAGGGGAGAAACTCACATGAGAGTTTAGGGGGTTAACCATGATAGGCTTACATTGGTCAAGAAGGCAACCGAATTCAGTTATGTCAACAGAGTGATGATTGGAGAAATAGGAAGGGATGCGATTACAATCGGTTTCGAAAATAATGTCCTCCAGGTTCTGGTTATGGGTCCAGTTGATAGCATGAAGAAGAGCAAAGGCTTTACTAACGTGGGGTTCCAAACAGCCTTTGATAGTGGTTGAATGAGCTCTAACAAAGGCACCTTGATGGTCTCTAATGCAGATGCCTATTCCAGTAAGTCCTTCCACTAGAAAAGAGTGAGTGGCAATGTTGCACTTAAATGACCCTTGGGGGGGAGGAGACCACCACTGTCTGGTTTGGGTTTTAGTGTGCTGGACCAAGTCGATTCTATTAGCAGTGGCCCAATCATGAAGCATGGAGGAAGCGCGAATATTGATCTCGTCTGGGTTCCAAGGAGTGTTACTCCAATGCAAAGCGTTCCGGCTGTGCCACATGCTCCAGAGAATCATGGAAAATTCTGCAGTAGCTTGAGGGGTCCAATGCTGTAAAATATGAGATATAAGGTTAAAGACACCATCAGAGGAGTTGATCAAATTCAAGATACAAGAGTAAAGATTACTTTCCTGCCAGCACAATTTGGCTGATGGACAACTAAAGAAAGTGTGCCAGGTGTTTTCGATATCAATATTACATCGGAAACATGTACTTGGCCAATACCGAAACATATATTAATAGTTACATATTTGTGTTTTCATACTATTACGTTTCTCAACATAATTGGGATATAATATATATGGTTTTTTTTTTAAGAATTTCTTGTGATAATATTAATTCAAATATAATATGTAACATTGTTTTTATACGTAGCAAATATTTGTCACAAGAAAATATCTATTAGTATGATACGAATTACACAGCATGGAAAGTTGATGTGGATGTTAACATTGATGTTGATGACTAACAAGAAACAACCAGGGACAGATTCAAGGAGGGGGCAAGCAGGGGCATACCCCCTCTGCTGTTGACTCTTAATTTCTTTTAATAAATTATTAGTATTATTATCATATTATATTAGCGTAAGAAAAATACTGTGTTTATGCAATTTTTTTTAAAATGAAAATAATATAATAATGGTAATTAATTGAAAATGTGGATGGTTATTAAGTAAAATATACATAAAAAAATAAAATAAATATGTAATTTATAAAAAGTAGTTATAAAGATATAGTTTGACAAAAATTGCATACAAGAAAAAGTCTATTTTTTTTAATATAGTTATAGATGATTATATTAAAAGTTTGATTAAAAAAATATACATATTTTATATTGTTGGTATTTTTTTAGAACAATATTGTTGATGATTTTATGATTTAAAATAATGATATTTATAAATTAAATAAATAACATTATATATTTAATAATTATGATTCAATATTTATTTAAACTCATTGTTAAAAAAAACTTAACCCCCCTCTTTAATTGGGCTCTAGATTCACCTATATTAACAACTACTTTTTTTTTTTGTGTTTAAAAGTTTAGGTGAATAATTGAGATTGGATGATTCATTATAGATAAGATAATTACATATTACTCATCGAGAAAGTTCTTATATTTTGGGAAATCAAACTCACATTCTTTTAAGATACAAGGTTGTTTTTTACCAATTGAAATAATCTTTGTTAACTACTATTTTTTTTGATAATGTTAATTACTTTGATATTCTCAATCACAAATTAGCTTAAAAAGATATTCATGTATTATTTCAATTTATGTGATGATACAAGATTGATTGTTGAGAAAACGCCAATGTTAATAGTGTAAGAGAGGTCATTGGTGACATATCATGAACAAAACTTACATTCGTTTAATGATTTTTATATAATTTGCTAATTTAATTATTTTGAAATTTCAATGTCAAAAATTCTCGTTTTGTATTATTTATTATGACAACTCACATAAATTAAGGTAAAACATTATTTAACATAGGTTTCTATTTATCAAGGTCAACTTTACATTTGTGCAATTATATGTTACAATTTGAAAAATTTAATCATGACGAGTGTTGAAAGATTTGATAATGATAAAAATACTCATTGTTCATTAATTAAATATGTGTTTTTCTAATTCATTTTTTATTCATAATTAATAGTTTATTTGAATAAAGTTCTCAAGTATTTAGATGAAAAGAAAATATGAAGAAACTATAAAAATGACATTAATTTTGGTATTAATTAGCTAAAAATAATTTATGTATAATTTAAAAAAATATTTTAAAAAAATTAATATGAAAGAGTTTATTTATTTATATATTCATTTACATTTTATTCTCTAACGTTTGTTCATTTTAAAAATTATACATACAAGTCGTTCTTTATACATATAAATATTAAGAAAAAATATAGTATTTATTTATTACTAGTAAAAAAAAGATTTTATATCTTCGTTATAAATAAAAAAAAGAAAAATTTGTTAAGTTAAATTAAAAGAATGAAATAATTGGATAAATTAGTTAAAAAGATTATAAAAAAAAATTTCAAAAGAATGAAAATACTAAACAAAGATATCTTCTTTAATGTGATAGATACAATGATAATAAACTTATTTTTATTATAAAAAAAATAGATACAACAAATAAAATAATATGAGATGGAGAAAATAATTTGACCGATGTATTATCTTTGAGAGAAGACTATCCCATTTATAAGTACTTGTAGTAGCTAAATAATTACATAAAAAAAGAATAATACATAACAAAAATATAAATGATAATAATTGATAATAAATATCCACTAATTAATATTCATAACAATTTTTATATTTTTAATTATAAACTTAAAATTTATGCATTTAAAAATACTGCATGAGATTAATAACTCATAATTTCAGTAATTTTTTTAAAGAAATTTGTAATCTATTATAATCTTACACATGCTTGTATCTTATCTTAATTTTATTTTTAAAAACAACAACAACGTACATCGGTGATAGAATATCTCCGCGTACCCTTGACCTCATTCCTCGTCATACTTAATATATATATATATATTTTTTAATATTTTTTACAATTTTATGTTGCATTTAGTCCAGCCGCCCCTGTGCACTACGCCGGGTCAAATTAGCTTCTTATTATTATATTATAAGAATGAAATCAACGGTTTATTTATAATTTTATTATTCTGATATTTGAATAAATTTTTATTAAGTTGATAAAGTCTATCACTTTTTATAAAACTTTAAAATAATTTAATATTTTATTAAATAAACTTAATTTAATTTATATTTTATTTTTTTAAAATAAAGTAAACATCCAATATATAAAATTATATAACAAGATATCCAATTTATATAAAATTTAGTGTGTACAATTATTAAGTTAATATCAATATGTTTAACGGTTGAACTGATACAAATTATTATACTAATATAGCTGCGGAAAAGAGTAGCTTTTTTTTGTTCGTCCCTAGAGTATTTTCAGCAAGAATTACTCCTTGTAAAAGAAAAAAAAACATTCCTAAAATAATTTGATATCCTCTTTTTATATATTTAAGTGAAATACATGATTAATGTTTTAAAAATATAATTAATATAAGCCATTAAATATTTTTAAATTATTAAAATTAAAAGACAAATATTTAATTTTAAACTAATGATACAATCATTAACTCATACTTATTTATACATAATTATATAATTTAGATTTACAGTTTTACATTCGATAATTATATATTTATATAAATGAATTAGTTGAAATATTTTAATGAATATTAAACAAAATCAAAATTTTGAAATATAAATAAGTAAATTACAGCCGCTAATGGGTCGTCACATTCATTTGTTTTATATTTCATAGTTTCGTAGCCTTAACTAGTGAAATATTCGATTAGTCGTAGAAGAATAAGCAATCCATCGGAAAAGTTAGACTTATTATAAAAGTATTAATGAATGATGTGACTGTTAGTTAGAAGGACCGTTAATGATTCATTTTTATATAATAAAACGATAATGATTAATGAAAAATAAAATTATCATCTTTAAATTATATAAATTTTAATCAAAATATGGGATTTTAATTATATAAAGTGTAATTAAAAGAAGAGTTAATATTAATTACACTGGCCAATTTCAAATGTATTCATTTTTTTCATTTTTTAGTTTAATTCGTACAATATATGAAACGAGAAAAATTAAGTAGTTTTATTTTTATTTAAAATTTTAAATAAGGAAAATGTAAAAGATAAAATATAAAAAAAAGTGTAAATAGACATTGATCTTAAGTTTTGTTTAAAAGAGAAACGTAAATAAGGATAAAAATGAAAATTTAAATAAAAATAAAAAAGGGAAAAATGTTAATAGACATATTAGAGTATTGTTAAATAGCTTTCAAAGCGATTTAATCGAAATCAACTACATATATTATAAACAATTTTTTTGGGTGAGACCGGGCCTTTTGGGTGAGAATATTATAAAGAGTTTGATTTCTTCTATTGTTGACGTAATTATTATATTAATTATATCTCAAAGGCAACTTTGAATAGCTAATTTATTGGGTTTTTTTTTTAACAACGTAACTATCCTAGCAATTCTGCTAAGACCATCATGAACATTGAGAGAAAACACTCTTCATCCGAATAATTAACATAATATTATTGGGTTTAAGGTCTTCTTCACACCTAGAAACATATTGACTATCATTAATTTTCAAGATTAATTCTTTGCATTTATTTCAAAATTGAGGTATTATTATCTGATAAAAAAAAATTACGTATTAAGAAGATCCGGTATCAATCTTCACAACCCAAAAAAGTCTTCACAACCAAATAGTTTAAAATGAGAATCCAAGAGGCATTAAAAGTTTGTTTGAATAAAATTTTTCAGCGATATTTTAAAAAATAAAATAAAAAATGAAATACTTTTTTATAAATATTTTTTTAATTCTTATTTAAAAAAGATTTAGCTTATAAAATTATTTTTTTCATAAGTTAAAATAAGAATTTAGAAAAAATAATGAAGAAAGTTTCTATAATAACATTTTAGCTTCTATTTTTTTTTTTCTTCTTATTTTTATCTTCTGTACTATCCGCTTCGGGCACCGAGCTCAAGCTCGGCATCCAAGCACCACACTACATCGGATAGGCGCTACTTGACATCAGCTAAAGCAAAGGCTCACTGTCTATTGGGTCGCGGCCAGTCTCAGGCCCAGATCAACCTTATATTCACCCAAGAGGAAAACCCTAATTTACATCAAGGTACGTGCACTATATATATGAGACGCTTACATTATCAAATACTAACTTTGGCATCGGAGACTCTTTTACAGATATCACCCCCATCTCGGAGCAGCCAACGTACCAAGCAAAGGAGATTCACCAATCTTGCCCAGCAAATCGTCCCCTTCGACTGATCTCAGGTAAGAACTTCTTCTAAAAGTTCGTATGTAGAATTTTAACTAAACAAATGGCAAAACAATAATATTAGGACAAAAACCAAAAGAAATTATAGTCCTTAGCAAAGGATATGGGTACATAGGATGATTTAGTTCGGTGCTGATATTCTATGTTTCCAAGTGAAACGATAAATGAGAATCTTTTACGTATAAATATATTTAAAAATAACATAATTTTAATACATTTAAAAAAAATCAAATTTTTTTATTTAATTTACTTTTACATTATTTTCTATCATCAATAAAATATTGTTTTAAAATTAAATCTTATATTTATTTTCACTCTTTATTAATACACTAATTTTTAGTTTTACCTAGCATTTTGACTTGTATATATATAGCATAAATTATATATTTATTTTATAAGATTATAATTCATAATAAATAAATATTTTAAAAATCTCTAATTGAGAGAGTGAATACTTTATTAGTTATTATTCAAGTTAGAGATTTTGAATTAATATATAAGAATAAATTCTTTTATAATTTAAAATTTAGTTTGTATTTATTATATTGTTTGAAAAAGCAAAAGCATTAAGTTACGCATTATTATATATTCACTACATTTTATGTCAGAATGACCTAAAGAAAATTTTAACATTAATTTATAGATATAAGATATTAGGGAAAACAAACTAACAATCAATAAAATAGTACTTTGTAATCACATGTCACAGTTTTATTTAAAAATAAATAAATAAATAAAAGACATAATTCGAGATGGTAGTCTAAATTTATTTATAAAAATACCATACAAAATTACCAGACAATAATTTATTATTATTATTATTATTATTTAAAAAAACATTTTAGTCCTATCAAAGATGGGCATGGGTTGTTATTTGTTACACTCAAGAGTAGGCTCAGGTGGGTCCCGAGTGCTGACTATCACGCATGGTTATTAAAACCTAAGAAATAAAAATTGAGCAACATACAGTACATAGTTTGAAACATCCATTTTAATTTTTAATAATAATGGTTGACGAAGATGTCATATTCGACGGTAGCATCCCCTTTGGTGAAATCGACGGAGTAAAACTTGGCTTGAGCATAGCCACGTGCGAAGCGAAAAGCACCCGTGCCGCCAATAATAGGCATCTCCCTAACAGGCTCACTCATGATCATGTTCCTTCCCAACACGCTTATGGTGCTGCCGTTGAATTCTCCATCTGAAAACGCCATCGTCATCACCATCATAAGCCCCAGCTCCCCCTGCGATATCGACGCGTAAAGTCCTTGGGCCTTTCCCACCAGCTTCGACTCGCGTTCTGGGCCTGTCGTCAGCGGGTCGTCCATCGCCACAACGGTTCCGAACGGAAGGGTATCTATCGCCTTCCCGTTCGGCTCCGCCACCAGCAGCATGCTGGGGTTTGGGCCCGACACGATATCGTGGTAGTAGAAGTGAAGGTGGGTGAACTTGTCCTCCCCGAAGCCCATTAGTGTCGGGCCTAGACTCGAATAGTAAGTGGCAGTGACAAGAGAAAAGAGTAGAGAAAGGTTAAAGCTGATGAAGAGGGTGGTTTTGGCCATTGTTAGGACTTAGGAACTAAGAAAGTAATTAGCCCCCCCGAACTGAAGACTGACTTTGGAATATCTCTCAGACTCGATGTGGAGTGGAGCACTCAGTTGGCTATATATATAATACCCATGCTTGCTTCAAGTTTCAACCATCATTTTTTTAATATTCTCCCTTTGAAATTCAATATAATCAATATTATTTTTTTACATTTTGTTCCGCACCAAGATAATGTTATTGTTAAAATCAAATATGACGGATCATATATGTGTACGTATCATTGATAGGGATGAAAAAGGACAGAGAAAATAAGTTAGTAGTAACTAGTAACTATTTTTATGTTAAACTGAAATATAAGTACGTAAAAACATATGCGTACAGGTGATGAGAATCTATTTACTAATATTGATATTGTTTTTTTTTTCTTCTGATATTAATATGCGGTGTGCATGATCATTTTGATATTTGTAAGTCAGATATTACTATTAAAGGTACACCACTGCCGATGAATCATAAGGATAACTCCTAGCATTTTCAATGGTGATTGTTTATAAGCAATTCTTGTATCACATTAGTTCTTTTTCACTTTATAGGTTACTTAAATTTTAATACTGGAACTTACAAGCAACTTTCTAAAATTTAAATAATTCATAAAGTGAAAAATAGTTAATGTGACATAAGTAGCCCCACTGCAAATACTCGTAGTTATAAATATTAGAATAATACGTATAATGTTTAATCTACTAAAATGTTTTTTTTTGCTTAATTTTTTTGATTTGTTGAAAGTGGATCGTACCATATTATGTCTATTACTCCAAAGTCTCCAACCACACCGATCAGTTGCAGTCAAAACAAAAAATCATATATTAATAGTAAGTCTATAATTTTGACCCTTTTATAACATGATAAATTTATTTTTCGTAATATAAAATTTGTTTTAAAAAGAAAATAATATCAATATAAATTTATAAAATTCATATTAATAATATTTTTCTTTTATATAAATTTTATACAACAAAAAATAAGTTTATAGTGTTTATGATAGATTAATCTAATAAATAATTATATTAAAATCAGAAAATAATATATAACACCATCGTATTAGGCTGCTTTTATAATGCATAATATTATTTTTGGAAAATTATATACTAATACTAATAATTCAATGTTTTAGACAAAATTTATATAAACAAATATATTGAGGAAACAAAACTAATTATTAGACTTTTTTTTTTTTTTGGTTTAGCATATAAAGAATGTAATAATGGCTAGTATCCGCTAGTGATAAGAGTTAGGTAGTATGAATAAGTTATCAAATCTTAAATTTTAAACTCAATGCAAATATTGCACACACAAATGTATAAAACATGTAATAAATGATTTATTATTTCATTTTCAAAAGAGAATTTATATTATCATTAATTTAAAAAAATTTAATTATTTTCAAGTCATCATAAAATACCATTTTTATGTGAGAAATGAAAATGATGAAAAAAAAAATTAGCCATTAGATTTTAACATAAAATGTCAAGATTAAAAGTCATGCGAGTTTTCTTTAAAATTATTATCTCTATATAAGAAAGAGGTTTAATGCATTATTTGATCTTTAAATTCTTTTTATAATTTTTCAATTAGGTTCTAGGATTAAAAAATTGTAATTAGGTCTTTCATTTTTTTTTTAATTTAGTTCCCAGGATTATAAACTTGTTTACAATTCATAAAATTTTATAAAATATTATTGATGACGTATGAATGGTGACACTAAATAATATTCTAATATGATTATGCAATTATTAAAAACATTTTGTAAAATTTAACATATTGTAAATGAATTTAATCATAATGACTAAATTATATAAATATAAAAAAAGTGAAATATCTAAGATCAATTTAAAATAAATAAATAAATAACAACCGATATCAACTAATATAAAGTTGCTATAATATATAGTATCGGGTTGCTTAGACATACAGTCACATTAAATGTTAGAACTTTAATTATCAATAAATAGCCAGAGATTATTGGTTAAATAAATGTCACTCCCCGGATATAATTATAAGGTTGAGTTTAAAATTAATTGATTAATTGTTAATCCATAAGATTCCAAGCTTAATTTCTAGATTAACTTTTTTCTTGATTGCGTTGCAAGGTTGAGATGATCATCCTCTGCATATTTGGGAGGAAAACAAAAAACTTAAATTTATAAACAATAAGTACTTTAATTTGCATATTTTACCGGAATTTTTTTTTATATATAAACTTGAATGCAATTTTGTACATATTATTTTTACTAGTATGAAAAAGAAACATTTCAAGTCTTATATTTATTAAAAAGTGTTTTAAGAGAAGATGATTGCAAAAAAATATATTAAGATTTTAAAGTAGGTAATTATATTGGCTTTTTTAATTGCAAAAGGTGAGTAATATAAATTTAAGAATAAAAACATCTGGTTAAGTATCACCTTTATAATATGTATAAAAATGTAGATGTATGGATATTTGTGCAATTTTAGTTTCCATATTTTTCTTTAACAAAAAAATTACATTTGACCAAAAAAAAGGTTTTCATATTTCTAATTCAGCAATCACGATATCTGAATTTTATCGTATGATAAAATTAGGTTCATTCCTTAGCCTAACATCTAAAATTTAAAATTTAAAATAATGTATTGAGTAATTAATATATCAATGACGTTAAGGAAAAAAAAATCACATGTCATAGTATTTCAAATAATAGTGCAACAGAGATTTTTCATATCAGTTAAAAAGTAGTTTTTACATCGGATGTAGAATCGATGTTGTTTCTGTTAGTGTATAAAATTATACTTTCAATCCCATGTTGCCAAATTCACTCATCCCAAATAGTTATTCACATGATAAATAGTCCACTAATAATAAAGAGTTTTTTCATGTAGAAAAAACTAAAAAAATATTTGTAGTTTATAGTTAAACAAACTCAAAATCAAATATTCAGATAAAATTATCAAAAAGTGAATATGGAAGTGAATGTGGATCTGAAATAGTTGTTACCTTCACATATCAAAGACAAGTAAAACATTGCAGCCACTAGTGAAACCCCTACAAAGTGAAATATATAGATATATATGGAAAATAACTTAATATCAAGAAATTAACAATATCTAACATGTTTATTTATACCGGTACTTTATATATATATATATATATATATATATTATATATATATATATATATAATTTATATATAACATGGTTTATGTAATATTTTAAAATTAATAACTAAATAATAATTTGTACTTACAAGACATGATTTTTATTGACTAAATAGTATTTTGACACTAATTAATTATATTAGTATGTTTGAGTGAAAATTGTAAAATTATTTTAAATGACATTAATTTTGAAGTAACATTATTAAGGATGAATGTTTTATTCGAAATCATTTCACGTGGAGTCAGTATTGTAACGATCCGTCGTGGTCGTCACACTACGAATCAATACAACACACTACTGAAAAATATATACTAGACTAGTATAATAAAATAAAATACAACACAAGTTGTTAATCAAGCAACCAGTTATATACAACAAAATATGTTACTATAAGGTAGCCTACAAAAAATATCTCTCTCCAGGCACCTCCTGTGGCCTCTAGTAGCTATTTCCCAGCCTATCACTGCCCTGCTCCCATACTAACGTATGATTATCGCAGTCCAAACCACATGGAAACACGCAAGGGTAAGCTAGAGACAATAAATAGCTCATAAATATCAAATAAGAAACACAATTATATAATCATCTTCACATCCGACACAAAAGATAAACAACACATATATTACACATCTTTCAACAACACATGTTTAAAACAACTTACAACATAACAACACTATCATCATCCTCAACAAGAATAACATACAACACAATCATAGCTTAACAACATAACAACATAGATACAACTTTTATCAACAACAAATCAACTCATCAACAACTTATGCGTCGTCACGCATTTCAACTCGAAGATCTCCAACAACTGAGGTTGAGTAGTCTAGGTGGCATAAACCCTACCGAATTTAGCGTTTGACCTATCTCAACCAGGTGAGGTATAGAACAGCGTTAGGAACTCCGAAGAGAACCAGGTATAGACAACAATAGGCGATTGCTCAGGTGTGCCACTTAGACTCGAGGTCTAGTACTACTGTCATGACAGAAGGGTTTGGGTATGAGCCTACCACGGCCTTGGCTAGCATCACCAATCCACATATGGAGTTATACCACCCACTGTCTTCCAAGTACAACGCACCCTCCAGTACCTAGTCAAAGACTACATCTCTAACTAGATACCTTACTCAAATTGGTCATTCAACCATGACATGGATCGACTACTTCCATGTCGCCCACACAGTACTAAGGGATTCAACTTTAAAACAACTTTCAACTTATCTCCTTAGTACTATGTATCTCAACATAGGACATATATCTTTACCATATGTCCCCAACTTTTCAACTTTACAACAATAGACACCATAACAACTTTACAACAATAAACATCTGGCCGCTTCTAATCGGTATAGCTAAGCCTGGCTCCTATACTGTGGTCACTTTGTACACGTGTGCCTCGACCTTGCCCACACATGGGATCAACTAAGTCCTAGAGGAGAACAACACAACGTCCACTCCAAGGGACAACTTGATGTAGATCAAATTATTTCAGAGTTCCTGCATTTAAGTAAAGATGGTTAAAATTTATGATAGGGTTATTTTATAATATTTGTTTGAGGGGATATTTTATAAGAGTTATTTTTATCAGAAGAGTATAATATAATTTTATTCATGAGTCTCTATTTATAGAAAAAATTTGTTATACAAAATCAAATATTGATATTATCCTATTCTAAAATAAGGAAATAAATCCTAAAATAATCAGAACAGATTAAATCTAAATATTTAAAATATAAATAAAATATTCTTATAGAAAAACTAACTTAATCTCCTAAAGATATTTAGGCATATTCCCAACACTCCTCCTTGACTAAATAATTTTATCACCTAATTTGAGTTTCAAAATCTGTCTTTTCTCTTTCTGATTGGTTTCTTCTTTTTGTAATTTTTGTTGTAATCTTTCT